TAATTTTTTATTATAAAAAAGCGTAAACTGACCCAAACCAGGTTATAATCGAATAATTTGGCCAAAAATTAGAGTCATTCCTTATAATTTAATTTTAAAATAATTAAACAACTGTGGGTGTAAAATTATGCTGCTTTTTATGAGTTCAAATTTGCCCTCAATAATACATCTATTAACGGAAGTTTTATGAAGCAAGGGGAGGTAATAACTGATACACAGATCTAGCAGCCATGATGTTTGTTTACATGAGGTAAGATCGAGCTACTGTTTGAAGTTAAAGGTACATTTATAAAATCTGGAATTTTCCATGAATCCCAAGGACTGGAAATGAGGGGATTGCATGGATACAGATGATTCAGCTGGTTGTCAAGGGGGTGTGTCCCCATACCAAACAAGGTTATTGAGAAATAATTTGCGTTCCTTTTTGGAAATCAACCAATGAAAGACTAGAATACAAACAAAATTAAATTATTTCACAATCACATCACTCAGTATCATTTAGTTGAACAATTCTGTTAACACACAGAATCTTGTTTTACAATATTGACAACGCTCTATGGATATTTGTTTTGTTTTTGTTTTTTTGGCTGAATCATTTTTTTGAGGTGAAGAGCTTCAAACTGTGCAGAAAGCTAGGGTTATAGCTGGATAAAAGCTATTTACATTGGTTATATTTTTGAATATTTTAGCCTGGATAAGTACTGGGACATTATTTTCGCTAGTGCATATGAGGATGTGTGCAACTTTTTCAAGTAAGTTGTTTTTTCTACTTTTTATTTACATTTCGTGTGCTACTTTCGATTCTTCCCTCGACTGTATGTTATATGGAGAGTAGAGAAAAGAGCAGATCAGATGCCCCTGTGTGTGAACTATTAGAACCTTTATATAACGTTTTTATGATTACTAGTTATGTGCCTTAAACTATGCAAAAGTGCAGACAAAGGAATAAGTGTTTTGTTTACCAGATGTGCAGTTGGTGATGGAAACGTCATCAATTGCAATGTCCCCGCGACGGTCATCGCCACGAGTCCCGGTAATTAAAATCTACACAGAAAATTATACCGCAAATAAAACTGCATTTCTCGTTATTTTTCTGCAATTTACATGTAAACATAATAATAATCTAAACATAAAAATCTTTTTTACTTAAAAAAATTCATGGATAAGGGAGGAAATGTACTACCTGGAAGCGGGAGGTCCTTGTTCCGATTTCTAGAGACCCTTTGTGCCAGGTATCCCCTTGGTTCCCAGACATAATCCATACGGGGTCTAAATTAGAAGAGCTGGCATTGACATCTTTTATTCCAACTTTCAATGAGCCTACATCTGGAAAAGTATACGTTGGGGAACATATTATTGTTTTTACTCTGTTTCCTCTTCTTATTATTATTTTTCTTCTTCCTGGGAAAATTTTGTCCACGAATGATCTTGTCAACTACACATCCGACTTAAGTGAAAACTTTTTAGGGTCAGTAGGCATGTTAATATGTAGATTTGCCGAAAGAAGGTCATTTTGCGCGCACGTGCTTGCAAGAGCGCGCACGTGCAACACGTGAAATGACCAATATAATGGATATTGCGGTAATATGACATGCTCAAAATAGCAAGATCTCACGCGCATGCACGTGCGCTTCGCTCTGATTGGCTGAAACTATAGTCTCAATATCTTTCTTGTTTTTTGTCATAATCCTTTGTAATTTTGAACATATTAGTTATTCACATTGTACATTATGAAGATCTACAACATGATATATAAGAATTTTCATGAGAGCGCACGTGCAACACGTCAAATGACCGATATTATGGATATTGCCGTAACTTTTCTATTTTTTGATGGAATTTTTTGAAACTCACAATGAAAGAATACATTAGTAGTACAGACAAGATGACATGCTTAAAATAGCACGTGCGCTTCGCTCTGATTGGCTGAAACTAAAGTCTCAATATCTTTCTTGTTTCTTTTGTGTCATAATCCTTTGAAATTTTGAACATAGTCATACATTATGAAGATCTATATGTATATAGCATGATATATAAGAATTTTCATTAAAGTATACGCATACACGTGTGCTGAAATCTGATTCCCTGAAACTTTAAATGCCTATAATTTTCTTAGTTTTCAACAAAACGGAATGAAATTTAGAATATGTATAGGTATAATGATTTTTGTACATTGGTACTGTCGAAAGTGAATGCAAGAACATGGATGCATGCACGTGCGCGTGCGAAATACGCAAAATGACCAGATATATTTGAAAAACAGTAGCATGTATAATTATAAGATTTTTTTAATTGATTCTGACCATATATGAATATGTTAATGGTTTAGACAACATGCCATGATCATTTGGCATGTGATGCACGTACAATGCTTTAAAATAACACATAGTTGATATCATTGTAACTCTTAAAATTCTTTGATGAATTCCTTCGATACTGTTCATACTTTAAAAAATGTCTTACAGGAATTATGCACAAAAAAGGACTTGGGGAGCGTTTGGGGAACATCTGTAACGGTCCCCTCTACAATTAACACTAGTTACATGTAACTTTATATTAGATATCTGCGATTTTAAAAATATAACTAAAGATACTATATATTAATTAAAGAAATTCATTTAATTTGAACATGTTGATTATACTAAAATTAAATCTACATGACGTATAGCTGTACATCCACCAACAAATTCAGAATTACTATATATTAAATTCCAAATTTTATTGATTCTTTTTGTTCTGATTGGACGAGAACAAATGCAAGAAAAAAATTACATGTCGAATTATTTTTCAATCAGATCAACCGTCTTGATCTAGCTTTTATCGTAAAAAGAAAATTCATGAAACAAACATTTGCTTTTGGTCTGTTTTCTAAATTATGCTTAAAAATACTTGAAATTAAATATAACAAAACTGTGGCATACAGAACTGACAGATGGGAATATTATGTTTAAGTATATGTTTCTATTAGATCACAAGTTTGAATTTTAAGGACTATATAAAAATTACCGACGTTCCCATAATAATAAGCAAATCAGCTCAGTTCTTCGTAGCGTTGTGATGGGAAAAAGAAACGTAATTGCCTTAATAGCATCATACTCATATTTCTACATCCTATAGTCTATTCCATCTCTAAACCAACCAGTCTTAGGGCTAATCAAAGGCTATTTTCGTTTTACAGCGTTGTCGCTAAAGCTGAACACGACTCGTAAGTGTTGGATAAATGTCGAATATATAGCTCTGTATTAAAAAACTAACAGACAGAGTGAGGTCTGTTAAGGCCGAAAACTGTCCGATATTTTTTAATACAGACTGAGATAGTCTGTTATTACGATTAATATCAGACTGCTCACAAATATCGGACTGCCACAGGTATATTTTTAGACTGCAAGAAAGAAGAAATGGCGTCACAGCAATGTTTTAAGTAGGCATACGCCATTTTCGATTTTATTTTCTACAATCCAAGTTTACTCTTCACATTCGTGTCACGGGTATCGGCGTGGAATGGCACCCGTGTTCTTGCTGGTTTCCTTGCAGTGTCTTTGTTTACATTTTATTACGTGTATCTGTGTTTGTTTGTATACTGCACTGACCTGTAAAACTTTAATTGTAAGATTCTTTGGTATCATACTTTCCTGCATCTGACGAAGTATCTGTCATTTTTGTTACTATCAAGTGCTGTATAGCATATGTCCGTCAGCAGTGGTGTCGACTGATTACAATGAAAAATGTTTGTTGTCCAAATCCTATATATAGTGTTCTTCAGATATAACGAGAACAAAAATGGCGGACACCTTCCTTTTACGAAAGGTCCTAATCCTGTGCTCTTTCCTTAAAAAAACCATGTTCTCTCGCATCAAATTTTATTTTCAAATAAAACAGGCGGTCCCAACTTTCACTTAAGCATCAACATTATTGTTATTTCCGGTTGAAGATATAAAGAAAAAACAAAACATCGGCAGAAGAACTTTATCCGAAATAGTATGTAAATTTTGCAATTTTTTGTACGTTCTCTACATAAACTCTTATGGAATCGGTGGCCATTATAGTTCCAATTTGGCCGATATGCAAATGAGCAGAATGAACATATATTTATGTGTAAACTCACACCTTTGAACTCACAAACTTAACCTAAAACGTGAGTTTCAATTTTTAATTTTTTTTCTGAAAATGCATGAGATTGGAAATATAAAACTATTTTGAGAAACTAAATGCATTGTATTTACTCTCTTCTCCGTCTCGTCCAAGCATGTGATACCAGAATTCAAAGCAGAAACCAGCTTCCATCGGATTATAGTGTGGTGACAATAGAGTAGTGTAATTCTCCGGCATTGTAGGCCTAGAAGCCTCCATGAATAGATAGTGACCTACAATCAAAATTACAAATTAAACTGCGTCTGAAATCTGGTGGTGTATCAGAAAATTATTTGTCTATTGAAATATCCGTATGATTAGCTTACTTGGGCTTTTTAGATTAAATTCTTGAACACCCCCTTATTCATATTGTGCACATTGCATTTTAAAGGCCAAAGTGAATCCAGAGTATTCATAGGAGAATATGTTTACACCCCTTGAATGGGGTACCTGTGTAAAGACGAATAATGACCCCCATAGATTAATGATCGGATCATCATTTGACGTCGGAAAATGACATTTTGCCCGTAGAAAAAGTGCCATCACCTAAAATTCTGCAGCCCCACGTGAAGAAAAATGACCCACGTAGAATAATGACCCCTTGCGAATGAAAGAGGATTAAATTTGAAATTTAAAGGACCAAAATAAAAGTAAAAATCAACAGACCTGTTGGCCAATATGCTCACTTGAGCTAAATTGGGAATAAATCGATGATATACCACTGATATACTGATCTCAGAACATTAGATAACAAGTTGTGTTAGTGAAACACTGATGCCCTCGTGTGGCAGCTTGTGTCGAGGGTTGAATTCTTTCAAATGCATTTTAAACTCCAAAGATCAAAAGGTCAAAAGTGTTAGTACCCAAAGGAAGGTCTTGTTTTGAACAAGGAATACAAGTATGAAATATGAAAGGCAATTCTAATTATTCAAAAGTTATGACCAAGGTTAAAGCTTTGAAAGGGTTGGTCAAACTGTTAGGTCAAGGTCAAAATGTCAAAAATATTTATATAAGCGGAAATTTTCTTTTTAAAATAAATACACATGTCAAGGATGAAATTAAAGCCCTAGCTCCAACTATTTAAAAGTTAAGGCCCAGGTTAAAGTGTGGTATCTTTTTGTAAAAGTAGATCAAACTCCAAGGTCAAGGTCCAGAGGTAAATTTGGTGGTACCCATGGAAAGGTCGTGTCACAAGAAATACATCTGTGAAATATGAAAACCACAGCCCCAGCCACTCCATAGTTATGGGCTAGGTAAATGTTGACAACAGGCAGACAGAAAGACAACCAGACAGACAGGACAAAAACAACATACTCCCGGGATATTCTTATCCGGGGCATAAAAATATAAATATTGCTGTTTTAAAGGTTAATGCAATGATTCAGAATTCTAATGCAATTTTTTGTAAAACATGTTTTGATTGGCTATGCACTGATGTGTAGGCAGTAAAACGAGCATTAACGAGAGTAAAAGCCTTTCATTGTGTCGTCATAATAGAGCACGCAAAAACACAATGCTCCGTGACATATTACATGTCACAAAATTGAACAAAATTAGTGATAAAAAATAAACAGAATGCATAGATTGCATTAGAATGGGAATATTTATCTTCTCTTTTGGTATTTGCGACAGTTAATGCTAATTTAACGGTCGCAAACATACGTTTTACCGGCTCCGCTTATGCATCGCCGGTAAAACTCAGTTTGCAACCGTTAAATCAGCATTAACGGTCGCAAATGCCGATTGAATTGAAACAAACTGATTATGCAGACCGTTTACATTTGCTTGAGTCCAAGCCAAACATTGTGAGAGAATCGGAGTTAACATTACCATAACCAGTATTAATTTTGCATTTGAAAGAAGAAGGTATGGTTTTAGCTTTATTGCGCCCTAAAATAGTAATGACATCAAAAAGTTTTAAAACTGGCTTAAATATTAGTTGATTATTTCCTGAAAAAATGTAAAGGAGTTAAAGATAAAAAAACCCAGCAATAATTGTTTTATTTTACAAACCAACGATTGAATTGAAACAAACTGATTAAGCAGACCGTTTACATTTGCTTGAAAGAAAATTCCATTGAAAAGCCAAACTTTTTGTGAGAGAATCGGAGTTAACATTAAAAACCATAACCAGAATTAATTTTGCATTTGAAATTTCATTTTTTAGAAAATGCAAAATTTGTATGGTAGCGATATTAAAAATATAAATGTCAGGCATAGCAACGAAAGGGTAAATGGCGCATTATTAGAGATAATTTTTTTTTAATTTTACCTTAGAAATATCTATGATGAAACGCTCAAAAGGTTTACTGATGTGAGGGATGATTTATTTATTACACTACTTTATTATATACCTAATGTGTTTCACCCAATTTTACTGTTGAATTTACGCTATCAAGTGACGTCGTGATCCGATTTTCCGGATCACCAACATGTTTTTTCTGATTCCATATCACCACTCTCTGATACTGATGACGTAGTACGCAGAAATATGACGTTATTTTTCTTGCGCATTAAAAAGTCCTTTGTAATTATGCTTTGTTTTATGGATAAATGTTATGCAATTGATCTCTAAAGTTTTCTTTTGCTATATCTTGCTAGTTATGAGGGGGTATATAATAAATTTATCATTATATCAAACTCGAGGCTTCGCGTCTCGTTAGATCTGATGATCCGCGCTTGTCAACTCGACGTGATACGACACTTCGGATCAAGTTACTGTTATAATAATATATATGTATCAAAAAAGTTGGGATATGGCAAAAAAAAGGTCAATTTTTAACGGGGGTCAACATTTTATAGAATGCACACATAAAAGAATGACATCTAGCTATGCCTCTGTTTAAATAAACAAGAGATCCATGGGCATTATAGGTCACCTGAGCATCATGCAATAACTTTCCAACAATTGAATTTGGTACACGTTTTAAATCAGAGGTCATTACATTCACAATTTTGAAAGAGGCACCATTGCTCATCATAACTATACACTTAGCATGTTTAGTGTGATTACTTAATACCCATAGGCAGAGTAGGGAAATAAAGAATGCATTGCAATTAATCGGTAATATTCAGCAAAAATCAGTAGTGCCCCCACCCCAAAGGAACCTTTGACCCTAGGTCCACACATTTCACAATTTTGGAAAACTGTCAGACCTGTGTTTTTGGTCTGGTTCAAATTTTCATATCAGACCTGTGTCTTTGTCTGGGTAAGTGTGATCTGAGCTGGGTCCAGTCCCAGTAGAGTTTTTTATCTGGGCAGCTGTAGTTCGTGACCAGTCATAATAGGAAGTGTCTGATCCATCTTGTTTCCAATCACACAAGTCCGCTGTCTCAAAATCACAAAATTTCCTTGGTTCCACATCTACAAAGTCGATTGATTTAAATCTATTTGAAAGAAAAAGTGAGCAAGCTCACATACAACACGCTCCCCCAAAGCTCAAAGTGCCGATAGTCCCAAAAAATAAAGGAAAGGGAATTTCCTGATTCATATCAAAATATTGTGTCCTAAATGTTTGCAAAGCTTGACAAAATTCTGTGCAGCGGTTTATGCCATAGGAGTTACCAAGTTTAAGAAACTAAAGCAGAAATATTTGGTGGAAAATCTATATCAAATAATTTTTCATATCAAAAATTTATATATTCAGAAAAATAAGATTTCATGAATAGCAAATATAAAAATTTTAAATTGAAAAGACCTCCAGTATGGCGACCAACGGGAAGTAACTCTTGGTCAATCGAAAACTATCTATTCAAGACATGGCCAAAAAAAATAAAGGAATTCGGATAAAGGAATCGGAATTTCATTGTAATATGCACATTTATCTCATACGAGTTGGGGACACAGCCCGTTAGATAAACTTATGCTTTAACCACGATTAGGTGCTTTAAAAATAGCACTTCCGGTTTTGACACGTGCCCTCGGTTCAAGATTTTATTTTATTGAAACTTCTTGCCTTTATAAAATGAATGATACACTTAAAGAGCAATAATGTTAAAAGCAAGAAAAAGACTCGAAGAAGTGTCTTATTTTATCAAGGTACCTGTATTGGCTACATGATGACGGATGTACCCCCACTCCCCAACCTTTTTATCTTTTTCGGAGAAAGTAACGCCTAGCAGTTAGGTTGTTGTGATACGATTCATTTATCATATTCAACAATGCTTTCTTATATTATACTAAGTAAGCTTACCTAGAAATTTAGATGTTACTTACCATGGATCAACAATGAATATACAAGAACCTTTGCTTAACACACTTTGTACTGCCACAGTACAAAGAGATACTTTTCATGATTCCTTGGGCCTTACAACTTTCAGATAGAAGTTCGCTTGGTGTAAATCCCCATCAATATGTCACATAATGTTTTCAAAGACGCAGATCGCAAAATCTCTAAATTTTGAACACGATCTTTTTTTTTCAAGGCATGCCAACATCAACGGTTCTTCGTCATCAAGTTACACGTCATCAATTTGAATTAGCGATCATTCATGTAGTTTCGCAAGGGAAGTCTCAAAATTTTGTTAAAATGAAAGTCGTTTGAGATAAATAGAACATCTATAATTGTGTGATTTGATATTGGCTTTATCCAACTCGTTGAAATGGTGTTTATTCGCTCGGCAAGCCTCCCGAATATATACACCATTTCAACTCGTTGGATGAAGCCAATATTAAATCACACAATATATATATCCTCTATCTACACACTGTGTACTAAATATCTGCAAAGTTTGATTAAATTCTGTGCAGCGGTGAAAAAGGAGTTACGATGCCAAACTTTTCATCTCTTTATTCAAGGTATTGCCAAAAATCTAAGTTGAAAAGTGCCGAATATCTCGAAAAAAATAAAGGAATCGGAATTTCCTGATAATACGCACTTTACACATTGTGTCCTAAATATCTGCAAAGTTTGATTAAATTCTGTGCAGCAGTTTATGAGGACTTGCGCTGACAATCTGTTCATCACTATATTTAAGACATAGCCAAAGATCTGAGTTGAAAATGCCGAAATGTCCGGAAAAAATAAACGAATAGGAATTTCCTGGTAATATGAACATCTACATATTGTGTCCTGAATATCTGCAAAGTTTGACTTAATTTTGTGCAGCAGTTTATGAGGAGTTGCGCTTACAAACTGTTCATCTATATATTTAAGATATGGCCAAAAATCTAAGTTGAAAAGTGCCAAAATTCCCGGAAAAAATAAAGGAATCAGCTTGAAAATGTGACGATTTTCAATGAAAATTTAACGAGAAGAGCCCTCTTGGTTAAAGATATCGTTAAAAATGTAACATTTTAGGGTAATCTCCTCTCAAAAAGTAATTAGGCTGGTTCAGCGATTGGCTAGCAAGGTATTCCACCAGGACTTTTTACTTATTTGTCCTTATAAATTCTACAATGATCGATCTTGCATTGTATTCAATCGCACATTTGTCCCCAGCCAACAGACATTTCCTACCTCCATCGCAAAAGAATTCCGTTCAGTTAAGTAATCGCGATATCAAGTATTATGTTAAGCGGTTTATGAGGAGTTCCGCTGACAAAAAAATATGACTGAAGGACTGACTGTCTGACTCATGGACGGGTCAAAAACATTATACCTCCTGCAACTTGTTGCGTGGGATATAATAATAGTATTAGTAGTGCTCCATATGAAGCAGAATTTGTGCAAAATCCTGTCACTTGCTGAGGCCTTCAATTCGACATTTAGATATGTCGACGACGTATTGTCAATTAACAATGGTAATTTCCATTCAGGACAACGTCGATATGATATATCCTGGTGAGCTTGAGATAAAAGATACCACAGAGTCTGACATATCTTTTTCATACTTGGATATTTTACTTGAAAAAAGACGTTAATGGTAATCTAACAACCAATTTATATGAAAGATGTAATGATTTTTCTATCGTAAACTTCCCTTACTTATGCAGTAATATACCTTCATCACCTGCATACGGAGTGTATATATCTCAGTTGATGCGATACGCAAGAGCATGTTCTACGTATGAACAATTTCTAAAACGAGGTAAATTATTGACAAGCAAATTGATGAAACAAGAATATCAGCAGTCTCGCTTAAAGTCATTATTTTGTAAGTTCTATGGTCGTTACAATAACCGTGTCAGCAAATACAATTTATCATTGAGTCAAATGCTGACTGACGTTTTCATACTAATTGCTAGTCCATTATTCATACACTGAATTGACAACGGATTTTCTCTTTATTTTCCCATCATGACAAGGAGCACACGGCGGGTGTGACCGGTCAGCAGGGAATGCTCACTCCTCCATGGCAACTGATCCCACCTCTGATGTTTCGGAGGTCTGTGTTTGCTCTGCTCCTATTTTGTATTGTTTTATGGACTTTGATATTGAATACTGTTCGTTATCTCCATATCCTTCGTTGAAATGAAATTGAGAAATTTTAGAGAAATGAATTTCGTTTAATATTTGGACCCAACCCGATCACAATTAAACTGATCCCGATCAAAATTAACATGAAATGAATAAAATACTAATATATTGTCTCTTTCATGTATTAATAATGAAGGAATCTATTTGATAGTCAAGTTCAATAATGTTTTAACCCTTATTAACCTAATCGGAATTATTATAGTGTTCTTGGGGAAATGTTATTCCTTTCCAATAATTTTACAAATTTGGTTGTGATCGGTTTAATTTCAATCGGGGTTGGCCAAAATAAAAAAAATAATTTCTCTAAAATTTTTCTATTTCGTTTCAATTTCATATATAAATGTGATTAACAAACATGTTCTCCCAAGTTGGGAATGGTTTTAAAAATATTTTAACCCCAAGTTTAAATTTTTTTTTCACAAATTGTGTGTTTTATTTTCATAATATTTTTTTCTCTAAAAATTTTTAATATCTATATGCTTTAATTTACATATTTTCTTAGTTAATTATGTGATGCATTCATTTACAGCAAAATTTTTACAAGAAAGTATCTAATTTTGGATGTCAATATTTTTTTAAAAATTTTATTTGAAAAAATACAAAAAATAATATAAGATAATTGAGAGATAATGTTGGCCTTTCAATGCCTAAATCATTGTTTAAAAAGATTGACTCAGAGATCTATAAAATAAAAAGTTGGAGTGGCATTACTTTTTAAACCTATCACAGAGTACGTATTAATTTATAAAATCTTAATTATTCTGTAAGATGATTATTTCAACATGTTTATACCTTTTTTAGAGGCTTAAAGCAGTTTTATATGTAATTATTGAAGCTTTCATACTGGAAACTTGTCGTCTGTTGATACATATGAATAACATGGACTTGTTTTAATTTGTACATCTATCTGTGAATTATTTGCTATGCGAAATATTGTTTTTGTTATATTTCAATTTAAAATTGTTTTCTCTATGATTAACACTACAAAAGTTATCTTGTTAATTTCTTGGTAATGCCCTTGGTATGTATATTTCTCTATTGAAATACTACTGAAATGTCAAATGTCATCCTGCATGAATTTGAGTGGCGTATAAATACACTGAAAAAAAATTAGATGTTTTGTTTAATTGTAAACTAAGTAATTAGATATGATATATCTTTTTATAAACAAAATAAGAAATGAATTATCTTCGGATCAAAAGCAAGTCGCTAGCGCAACGCTGTCCACTGTCAGCGAGGCCGAGAACTTCACTTCCGTAAACAATCTATCTGGAGCACGTGGAGAAATCGGTATAGCCACACTTCATCATCTGATACAGATATCGTCCCTCAATCATTACCATCCGACTTCTTAAGCAACTCAACTTCCTCTGCTGTTTTAACATTTGTAAGCACCTCAACGTCCTCTGCTGTTTTAACATTTGTAAGCACCTCAACTTCCGGATCCTCTGCTGTTTTAACATTTGTAAGCACCTCAACTTCCTCTGCTGTTTGAACATTTGTAGGCACCTCAACTTCCTCACTTCCTCTGCTGTTTTAACATTTGTAAGCACCTCAACTTCCTCTGCTGTTTTAACATTTGTAAGCACCTCAACTTCCTCTGCTGTTTTAACATTTGTAAGCAACTCAACTACCTCTGCGTTTTTAACATCAACACAAATCGGATTTCCTGGCCAACTCCCGGCCGTTTCATCAACCTCAACATTGCATTCAATATGGCGGTTGAGAAGTGGGCTAGGACCTATACACGTGTTTGTGCTTCCGACAACCTAAATCGTGGTCACATGCAATTTACGTTAACAAGATTACAACTAAACAATTATTAAATTTGTTTCGTGTTTTTATGGGACTATATTTTTTAATAGACTAAAGTACAATTTGACGTCATGGGGCAATGGAAAATAACATGGAATGCCTCGTGCATTTCAAATCTACTAATTTAGAC